ACTATTATTACTTTCCTGACTTACCTCCTGACTTTCACTGATCAAACTTTTTTCTTTCTCACTTAAATCACATTCAGTTATCTCCTTTTCTTTGTCTCCCTGTTTCCTGTTCTTTACCTGGCCCTCATCACTGACCACTGACAGCTCTTCTACATCAGACACTTTACTTTTCTGAGGCCCAGCAGCAGCTCTGTCTGAAAGAACTCCGCTAGGACCCGCTACAGCGGCCTCAGCTCCGCCGAGCTCCGCGACAGCTCCGCCGAGCTCCGCGGCGGCAGCATCGACCGGTACCGCGTCTGCAGCCGCAGCCGGCCCGGGGGTCACAGCAGACGGCCCGGGGGTCACAGCAGACGGCCCGGGGGTCACAGCAGACACGTGACCTCAGCAGCCGGTGCTGCCTGAGTATTTCCCCGCACATGAACATTTTTTTCCGGGCATGAGCGGATTAAATGTCCCTCTGCACCACACCCAAAGCACTTCATGGTCGCTGATGTTGCGAACACCATGTAATTAAAACCATCAACTTTGAAATTAAAAGACAAATTAAGATCATCTGAATTGTTTTTCATGACCATGAAAACTTGTCTTCTGTGACAAACAAGGTGTTTGAGCAGGGGGGACTCCATCTTCACCTGGGACACTACCTGCCCATACCTGCACAGCTCTTTAACCAACATTTCATTTTTAATGAACGGGGGGGCGTTAGAGATGGTGACTCTTTTAGCCGGGTTGATCAGGGGGAGAACAGAGGTGAAAGTGTCCTTAATGACGACACCTTGTTCGACCACATCGTTCACTTTAGCCGTGCTATCTAAAAAAAGAACAATGGCCCCGTTCATGCGGGAGGCAGACCTCACGCTGCCGTAACCCACCACCTCTCCAACCGCTAAACAGCCTCCTCCACCGAGCAGCTGACAGCCGGCACCAACTTCACTGCATGTCGGCGTGTCAGCTTCTCAAAGTCCTGCTCCACGTCTACGACGGGCATGCTGCCCAGCCGAGCTGGTAAACAAACAACTAAACAACAACAAACTACTAAACACAAACTATGTTAACCAAAGAAAGAAAATAACAAACAAACATTCAAAGTTTGAAACTCACGACGAAGCTCACGCTGCCACTCACAATCCACTCACTCACCATCCACTCAGAGAGAGAGAGAGAGAGAGAGAGAGAGAGAGAGGGAGAGGGAGAGAGAGAGGGAGAGAGAGAGAGAGAGACAGAGAGAGAGAGGAGAGAGAGAGAGAGAGAGAGAGAGAGAGAGAGAGAGAGAGAGAGAGAGAGAGAGAGAGAGAGAGAGAGAGAGGGAGAGAGACAGAGAGAGAGAGAGACAGAGGGAGAGAGAGGAGAGAGACAGAGAGAGAGAGAGACAGAGAGAGAGAGAGACAGAGGGAGAGAGAGAGAGAGAGACAGAGAGAGAGAGAGACAAGAGAGAGGAGAGAGAGAGGGAGAGAGAGAGAGAGAGACAGAGAGAGAGAGAGACAGAGAGAGAGAGAGAGAGAGGAGAGAGAGGAGAGGGAGACAGGAGAGAGAGAGACAGAGAGAGAGAGAGACAGAGGGAGAGAGAGAGAGAGACAGAGAGAGAGAGAGACAGAGGGAGAGAGAGAGAGAGAGACAGAGAGAGAGAGACAGAGAGAGAGAGAGAGAGAGAGAGAGAGAGAGACAGAGGGAGAGAGAGAGAGAGAGAGAGAGAGAGAGAGAGAGAGAGAGAGAGAGAGAGAGAGAGCTGAATAAAGATGCAGGGCTGGAATAGTGCAGATTTACTTCAACTCTCCAGTCCACATGTTTATTAAAGTATTCAAATGAAAGCACTCATCATTGTGTCAACATGTGTCTGATGAACACTGAAAGAGATTTGAAAAAGACACAAAAAAGGACCAAAAGATTAAAACATAATCATAAAGCTGTGCAGAAAAGGTCCAAAGTGGAGCATAAATAATGATCAGAATGCAGGAAAAGAAATGTCTGATGCTAACATTTTTCTGAGGGGAGACCCCAAGATGCAAAAAAGAATCATGTGAGAGAATCGTGATCTCAGATCTCAGGGAGAAAAATCATGATTCACATGTTAGCATCTCTTTTTCATTTACAGCCACATCATTTCATTTCAGTTTCTCTTTAGATTTTATTTTTTAGTGTTTTCAGTTTTTAAATCCATCAAGAAAACGATTGAATCAAACACAGTTAGAGTGCTGTTGTTGAAGAAAAGTCAAACATGTTTATTTTGAGAGATTAAAGGCACTGTGTTGACTTCTCAAAGTTAAAGTTTTAAAGGATGAATGTGTGACATGTTACACATAAATATATCAGAAATCCAGTCTATCCTGTGTGAATGTCTCTGAGTGTGGAGGAGGCGTGGCCAAACAGCAGTTTGTTTTGGTTTGCTCAAGGGCGACATCTACTGGATCAAAAAGTCACTCATTCTTCCTTTAGTTGAAGAGAAGATCAAGTTGATGAATTACTGGATGTATAAATATATCTGTCAGTAAATCTCTCAGAGCGAAACATCAACATATAAAGAAATCAGCATTCAGATAAAGGACGACAACACGACTGGAAGATGAATCAAACATAGATACAGGATTTATTTACAGACAAGTGGAGATTCAAATGAAGAGCAGCAGGACAAACAGTGTTTATTTACAGGATGATGATTGTCTGCTTGGCACATGTTCTCCTCCTCTAACCTGCTTCATCTGCACAGGTTGTAACTGTGGTTTGTTGATTTGTGCTCAACAGTGAATCCATGAACACCGTCATCCCATCATCGCCATCATCGCTGCACTCGTTCTTCTCGGCCTCGCTGTCATTGGATACAAGAAATACAGAGGCAGAAAATGTAAGAGACACAAACTTTGTTCTTTTTGGTGTTTTAAGTTTTTAAATGTTATTCTTTGAGTTTATTAAAGGTGCACTTTGTAGATTTGGTAGAGAAATGTGGAAGTTGAAGAAATGTACAGATTCTGTGGTATATGTTCATAACTCTATACACAAACTGTCCTCAGAGGAACAATGTTTGAAGATAAAATGCTCTGAGAGAAGTTATGGTGGGGGCTTCAACAGTGACACTGTAACTCTCCTGGTAGCTTTTTAGCTCCAAACAGAGTTCCAGGGACCCATTTTTCTTTTGAGTAAAGTTTGTGTATTCAGTTCAGGAAATATAACAGAGAATTGTTTCACTTCTCCAACTTTCAACTTTCAGTACCAAATCTACATATTGCACCTTTAAGACTTTAATACCTGTTGTATCAAAATCTGTTTCAAACAGTAAGGAAGTTTTCCAGCTGTGTCGTATTTTATGACTTTTAAGGGCGTTTTCACATCAGGCATGATTGTTTTGTACAGTACCCGAGCAGGATTATCCTCCCCTCCCCTCTCCCCGATGGTCCCCACATTAGTAACATTGTTCTGTGTATCGCGGTCCACTTCCTTGAGCACGGTTGTGTTCACATCTCACACGGACCAAGCGGACTCGGGCACGGTAGCTGAGTACAGTACGAGTACGGTATGTTTGTGTTCACACTGATCAAATGAACCGGACTTTAGGGTCCAGTGTACTCGGATCTGGACTTAGATCCGGGCCTGGGACCCTGATGTAAAACCCCCTAAGAAAGAGAGATGAATTTAATATTGTTTGTTTGATGTTTTTATTTATTTATTTAATTTTAGTACACGAGACAAAGTGAGCTGTGTGCTTAAGTCGAGATACATGTGTCAGTTGAAGGTTTAAATCCTGGAGTTAAGTTACTAGAAAAGGGGAAGAAATGATTTTCTGGCTTTCTGACCTACGTGAGAACTAAAACGACCCGTCTTTGTTTTTGTATTTCAGCTACATGTGAAACGTCTCCTGAAAACAGCTCTGAGCTCGCTGAGAAACTGAATCCAGAGCCTACATGATGAACACACCACCCTGCACCCTGTGAGTTTCTCTCTACGGGACGTGGACCATTCTCACTGTTAAAAACGCCGTTTTAAACGCCTTGTTAAAGAAGCTTCTTTGTTAAACTTGTGTGAGGTTGAAATCAGTGTAAATATGTAGCTTTGTAGAGCTGATCTCTCCAAACACTGATGTGTTAAATGATTGTTCGGTTTGACCGTCTTCATCTCTGCAGGTTTCTTGAAACATTTTGCTCAGGAACAATCAGAGTGAAGGTCGTCTGTGTGTGTTACTGGAGTCCACCTCTCTCACACTGCAGTCACCGTAACTCTCTGCAAGATGAGCCAGAATAAAAACAGACGAGTGGAGTTTCATCTCAGTGGTGAACTGTCTTAAATTTGTACCAAACACAGATAATAATTCAATCTGGTTCCTTCCACGTCTTTAAAAGGCCTCCCTATGATCACACACGTGAAATAAAATCATCAGTTCAAGATTCATCTTCCAGTTGTGTAAATAGTCTGCTTGTACATTTTGTATACATTTTGTTTTTATTACTAACAAACCAAAGCAAATAATAATTCTTGTCTCTGAGTTTTTTTAACAGATAAGGAGAATGTTTTTTTTTTTTTCATAATATTCCTCTTTTGATTTATTTTGAAACATTTTTATTAGAGATGTCAAACGATGACAATTTTTAATCACGATTAATTTCTAAATTTAAAAAGTTAATCACATTTTTGATTTTCACATTTGAAATAAATTGTTGGGCTTTTATTTTGAAACATTTGTACTGTCTTAAGCTGAGAGTACTTTACCTGCTGTTTGAATTTAGCCCTGCTTTTATTTTGAAATAGAGTAAGGAGCTTCTGTAGATGGAAGGTTAGGACATGAACTAAAACACAGAAACAGGAAGTGGTTATGGATCCCAAAGTGAGGTCAAACAGCTCAAAGGAACGGTGACAAAGGTCAATGTGTGATGTCATCAGGTCAATGTGTGATGTCATCAGGTGGATATTACTGTCTGAGAGTTTGTTAAAGTGAAATGAGACATTCAAAGATGCAGCAGTGTTCTTCTTTTACATCAGTGAGACTACAGGGAGACACTGAGGACCACTATCTACGGAGAGCCTGAAGGGACAAAATAAGATGAGATTAATCGTGATGAACTCGTTAATGCTGACAGCTCTAATTATTGTTTTATTTTGATCAGAGATCCTAAACTGTTTGTGGGAGGCGTCTCAGCTATCCAGTTGAAATCTTGTATATAATTCCTGCTCGTGTTCAGGAACGAGGGATGTTTTCTCTCTGAGTTTTGTGAATGGAAGTGGAAGATGAATTCTCAGAATCACTTCCTGTGTTGGGTTAAGTTAACTAGTGGTGTTGAGCTGCTGTTTCATACCTTTGTACTGTAAATGATCTGTTCAATAAAGTCCCTCACACTCCAAATGTCTGTGTGTTTCTTCACTTCAACATTCATGGAAACACTTACACAGCTGTAGCTACCATTGTGGGAACATTTAGTTTGATTCCAATAAACTTTATGATCTTTACTTTGTTGATCTTATAGACGGATTATTCACATGTTCTGAAACGTCTGAACAAAGATATTTAAATTAGCCGCTCAGTTCAGTAACATCTACATTGTGATGATATAAAAACATTTGTTGGAGCCAGTTTGATGTGTGCTATAGTGTGTGTGCTGAGTTTGGTTATTATTGCTGCTGCTGCTACGTCACCTTTGCACCTGGGCATCATGGGTAATCAGCCACACGCAGCTAGAAAGGGGAGTGACAGGTGAACAGGTGCAGAGAATCAGGATTCAGGTGTGTGTTTGTTTCTAACCCTGTGTGGTTGTGTGAACATGTTTGAGGTTCCTGTCATGTTTGGTGTTTTGATTGTTTCCATCCTCACCAGCTTGTTTTCAATCCGTGCATTTCTCCGACCTTTTGTAGACGATTTAAAGACGACTGATTAATAATTCAGAGTTTGTGGAGGCGACATTCGATCAAAGAAGTCGTAAAAAAGGATCACTAAAAGTAATGAGTGTGAGTGAATGTCTTTAAAATGCTGAACCAGTGAACCTCCAGCTGGTGTGAACATTCAAACACATGGATCCAAGAACCATTTAACCCTTTATTGGCTACGAGCACAAGGTGGATGGATGGACGGATGATCACTGTTCAATAAATAAAGAGAAATCATTACGCTGCCACATGAACTTCAGGATAAATGGTAAATGGACTTGAGCTTGTATATTTCTTTTCTAGTCTTCTGACGACTCAAAGGGCTTTTACAACACGTGTCACACCTACACATTCACACACTGATGTAGAGGCTGCTGAGTAAAGAGTCCATCACAAGTAAGTGATCACATTCACACACCAGGTCCTTACACACTTATGTTCATACATTTGAAAAGAAACCTTAAAAGATTCAACAGAGAAGTGAAACTGTCGTCTAGAAAGCGTCTCTCTGCAGCTCTCTCACCTTTCCTACGATGCTGCCCACGGTGATGATGGATCCTTTGGGTGCTCCACAGGCCACCAGAGCCTGAGCCACAGCCTGAGTGATCAAGAAGGAGCCCTGGAAGAGACGCAGGAGCAGGAGTGAGTTCATCTCTTCACAGTAAATCAGCACCAGAGAAAAGAGTGTTTGAAATAATAACAAAAATCATTCAGCTCTGTGGACAAAACACAACAATCCTAAACGTTCTTCAGCCTCAATAAAGACATTTTCACTCATGCACTACTGAAAGTCTTCATTATTTTCAGGCAGTCAGAGGTGGTGGACAGAGCAACAGAGTCCAACTCTATGATGACAGTTTTTTTTGTACATACTGGAGGACAGAAAACTTAAGGCAGCGGTTTAATAACGTGCACAGAGATCACACATATCGCGGTCATACAGTCTCTGGTTGTGCACGGGTCCTGAGGTAGAAACGTTACCACCCCCCTCTTGCTCCCTCACAGTGAATTTACCTGAATACTTCCTGCTGCGTTCTCACATCAGCTAACCCGACTTCATGCAGAAAAATGATCAGGGGGCTGCCGGCTAAAGAATTCCAGATAAAGTCGGAGTAGAAATGTGTCTGTTTGCGTTCACTCGTGCA